TCTTTTTCTTTTTCTTTTCTTCTTCTTTTTTTTGTTTTTTGTTTGCTTTTCCAGGGGGGGGGGGGGAGGGGGGGGGGGGGGGGGCAAGTGCCCCCCCTTGCCCCCCCCCCCCTCGCGACGCCCATGGTTCAGGGAACTGTTAAAAGACCTTGAGTTTCAACAACCGGAAACGAAACCCCAAAATACTTGAACCAGGTCTTGGTTAGCCTTTAGTCAAGTCCCACGCGCCTATACCCGGACCATCCGGACACGTAACGTACCCCGGATGCTGGCATGTAGAAAGACTGGCACGAGCGGCGAAGCCGCGAGGGCCTTTACTATCTCGTGGAACTAATCACGTATTCATTTATTCACGTAATATAAATCAAGCAATATAAACCAATCATCTAACGGTGGTTTGCGGTTACCAGCAACAGCACCCGCGCCGTGGCACGCGTGCTGTCTGGCGCCAGACGACGGCTGATTTACGTTAGTTATTCTGCATTTTCATTGGTCAATTCATAACGGGTAAAGCATTATGCATGACATCCAAATCGGTAGACAAATGTAAAGAAAAACATAAGCGTTCTCCTCGAGTTGGTAAAGGCCCTCGCGGCTTCGCCGCTCGTGCTAGTCTTTTTTACATGCCAGCATCCGGGGTGCGTCACGTATCCGGGTAAGCGCGTGGGACTTGACTAAAGGCTACGTCTTGGTAAAGACTGAGCTACGGCAACTTAACAAATGATTGTTCGCCCATGAAGAAACCTTTCTATTTAACATGTGTTTCTATCAATATGTGTACACAGTACTGCAATGCGCACCATATCGAAATTAGATTGTTGCCACTCTTGGCGTGTTCATGTTGATGTGGCTATATATGGGCTGGGCGGTAGAGTGATTTATTAAACATGAAGAACCTTCATTGGAGTGCCGACCCCAGCATCAGTCACTCAAATTTGCTCTTTAGACTAAGCAGAGGGTTTTATATGTTGAGGAGAATCACTTCGCACACTTGAGACATCCCTAAACTATATCTACAACTCTGCATCTGCGGCCCTTTTGCATGGTGGCGGTAAACGCAATTATCATATCAAGCTGCGACTGCTCTCGTACAATCCAATATTTCCAAGTGTAACAGACTATTTCCTGAGTGCTAGTGATTCAGTCTACATTATCAGGTATGATTGATATGTTAAATTAATAACTTTTCCCCACAGCTTCAAACAGTCGTCTCGTTGGTTATTCCACAGTCTAGTGGAATATATTTATTTTAAGTTATTGATGAAAAAGAACGAATGGGGAATTAGGGGCGAAGACTAAATGTGGAATTCCACATTTGGAACTTAAGAGGGCCAGCGGCAGGGGTGGCGGAACCGCGGAGGGGGGGGGGGGGGCCTGAGGGGGCATTTGCCCCCCCCCCCCCCATTTTCCCAAGTGCCCCTTTTGCTGGAACATTTTATGGGGGGGGGGGGGCGTCATGTAGATCAATGACTATGAAAGCATAGTAAGAAACAGAGCTAGATGGCAATGCGTGTCATGAAGAAGCCTTGAAAAAGTGAATTTCTATGGTTCCATAAGTTCAATGTTCACTTTGTATGGAAATTAAACGGTGTGAATAAGCAGGAGTACACTCTTTATGAAGGAAGTGTATTCAGATTTAAATGGAAAATAATCAGTAAACATTTATCAGATTTCAAAGTTACCAAAGCATAACTGACAATTCTTTTGAAATAATATTCAAAATTAAAAGTTCTCGTCAGTCTCTAAAACAAGAGAAAATCAGTCAGTAATTTTTTTTAAAATACTTTGTTCGCCACAGTAACAACTTACACTGATGTACCGTCAACTGAGCGAGTTCGCCAACTGTTCAGGGCATGGGCGTCGCCAGGATTTTTTCTAGAGGGGGGCCAAAAAATGTTTGTCAAAAAATGCTTGTTTTTCTCAACACATTCCCGATTTATCAGTTTTAGAGGGGGGCAGGGACATTTTGCCCCCCCCCCAACACATTAAATTTACACCACTTTGTCTTCGCGCCTCTTTTTCTTTTCTTTTTCTTTTCTTTTTCTTTTTCTTTTTCTTCTTCTTTTTTTTTGTTTTTGTTTGCTTTTCCAGGGGGGAGGGGGGGGGGCAAGTGCCCCCCCTTGCCCCACCCCCTCGCGACGCCCATGGTTCAGGGAACTGTTAAAAGACCTTGAGTTTCAACAACCGGAAACGAAACCCCAAAATACTTGAACCAGGTCTTGGTTAGCCTTTAGTCAAGTCCCACGCGCCTATACCCGGACCATCCGGACACGTAACGTACCCCGGATGCTGGCATGTAGAAAGACTGGCACGAGCGGCGAAGCCGCGAGGGCCTTTACTATCTCGTGGAACTAATCACGTATTCATTTATTCACGTAATATAAATCAAGCAATATAAACCAATCATCTAACGGTGGTTTGCGGTTACCAGCAACAGCACCCGCGCCGTGGCACGCGTGCTGTCTGGCGCCAGACGACGGCTGATTTACGTTAGTTATTCTGCATTTTCATTGGTCAATTCATAACGGGTAAAGCATTATGCATGATATCCAAATCGGTAGACAAATGTAAAGAAAAACATAAGCGTTCTCCTCGAGTTGGTAAAGGCCCTCGCGGCTTCGCCGCTCGTGCTAGTCTTTTTTACATGCCAGCATCCGGGGTGCGTCACGTATCCGGGTAAGCGCGTGGGACTTGACTAAAGGCTACGTCTTGGTAAAGACTGAGCTACGGCAACTTAACAAATGATTGTTCGCCCATGAAGAAACCTTTCTATTTAACATGTGTTTCTATCAATATGTGTACACAGTACTGCAATGCGCACCATATCGAAATTAGATTGTTGCCACTCTTGGCGTGTTCATGTTGATGTGGCTATATATGGGCTGGGCGGTAGAGTGATTTATTAAACATGAAGAACCTTCATTGGAGTGCCGACCCCAGCATCAGTCACTCAAATTTGCTCTTTAGACTAAGCAGAGGGTTTTATATGTTGAGGAGAATCACTTCGCACACTTGAGACATCCCTAAACTATATCTACAACTCTGTATCTGCGGCCCTTTTGCATGGTGGCGGTAAACGCAATTATCATATCAAGCTGCGACTGCTCTCGTACAATCCAATATTTCCAAGTGTAACAGACTATTTCCTGAGTGCTAGTGATTCAGTCTACATTATCAGGTATGATTGATATGTTAAATTAATAACTTTTCCCCACAGCTTCAAACAGTCGTCTCGTTGGTTATTCCACAGTCTAGTGGAATATATTTATTTTAAGTTATTTACGAAAAAGAACGAATGGGGAATCAGGGGCGAAGACTAAATGTGGAATTCCACATTTGGAACTTAAGAGGGCCAGCGGCAGGGGCGGCGGAACCGCGGAGGGGGTGGGGGGGGGGTGGGGGGGGGGGGGGGGGGGGGGGGGCCTGAGGGGGCAATTGCCCCCCCCCATTTTCCCAAGTGCCCCTTTTGCGGCCATAAATGTGCCCCCTCGAACAGTAAAGTACCCCCTCAAGATAAAAAAAATGCCCTTAAAGTATCTCACTATTGCTTAGAAGTAACCATATCCGAATAATGGTGTAGATATTTTTGATATAAGCGAGGAATATGAAAACCAAGTCCCAAAACCCATACAATACGGCCTGAAAATGGGCACATAATGCATATTTAGCATATAATCATTGGTTTTGAAGAGCGCCCCCTATGTTGGAAGATGGTACCAGACCAGGCCCCCCCCCCCCCCCCACACACACACACACACTATTTGATTTTACGGAGGCGAAGTGTCCGGTAAAAAAAAACGTGTCGACATTTCAGCACGGTTTGCAAGTGCCCCTTTTGGTGATCCCCCCCCCCCCCCCAGTTTCAAACCCGTTCCGCCGCCGCTGGCCAGCGGTAACTAGATGGACTGTGCGAACCTGCTTTCGGTCAAACGATATCAATAAGGGTTACATTTAAGATTTAATCTGTATAGAACATCAACGAAAAGAGGTCACGCTTAATTGACAAAAAGGAAGACAACATTTCGGTTTGATATCCAGCTTTAAAGACTTTCATCATCTCAAGCCTTCAAGATATTTTTTTAGACTGGAATTTCCAAATTTCTTCAGAATAATTCTCCTCAATTGTCACGTATAATAGTTTGCTTGCCAGCATTGTAAAATGTTCATGAAAGTAACGTGACATTAAACTGTTTATGTTTAACATTTTATTTTTGGTAAAGATATTCCTTGGTTTGTGTTTTTACAGGCCAATTTTTCTTAAAAAGCCCCATTCGAACAAAACCCAAGTCTTAAAGGTGTTGCTACCCTAATTGTTAATGGTTCTCCACCATTAATATTGTTGCAGCTTGATAGTTTTTGGTAAGGCCCGTGCAGTAGTAGATCCGGGTTGCTGAACACTCGGAGAACCGAGTATGACAATTCCATTTCATCGGTGTTAACCAGAAGTCATTGTAAATTCCGAACCAATATTTCTTAAAGACGAGCAACAGCCAGCTACCTTTGGGTAATGATCACATCAAAACATTTTTCATTCTCTTTTCCACGAAAGGGAAAAAGTTGTGTTTTTTTCTCAGAAAGATACAACCATTGTAATCGACAGTCCAGTCCTATTTTTGCATCTTTTTTGTCTCTTCAATCATAAAAGTATTTTATTTGCACCCTTTTTGTATATTTGTCAGCTATCGAACAAGAATTTGTTCTTGAAATTTCTAGGCTTTGGACTAAGGTCCGAAAGAATCGATGACCCGATCTGGACATTCGTTTCATAACCAGAAATTGACTTTTTTTTAAAAACAATTCCTTTAGGAATAAGACCAGGAGAATAATCCTTTATCTGTAAATCATTTCATTGTACGGATTCCCTTACTGTACTGTAAACTTTGGTAATTTTTATTTATTTATTTATTTACAGCCTGTGATTATAGACTTTTCTCTCAGACCCACCGCATTGTACAATAAGGTGCATTGCCATCTCAAACATTTTCCGTGAACTGAAGATCATGGAGTCTTGTAGGAGACACTTCACCCTCTTGTGGGCAATTGCTCTGTCTTGGAGCATCATCTGTGTAAATATGTTTACCACATCAGCTGAGCAGCTTGGAGACCTGTCAGACTATGAGTTGGCCAGCTTTGACAATCCTGATATTTTGGATGAACCCCAAAGACGTGCATCAAAGTTCAATCATTTTACCTTGAGTGACCATGGCGATGTGTATGTTGGAGCTGTCAATTGGTTGTACAGGCTGAACAGTAGTTTGGAAGAGATACAGAACGTTTCAACCTGTGATGACAGCAGGCCAGATAGTGGGATGTCCTGTTACCGCACGAATAACTACAACAAGATACTGGCTGTTGACAGTACTCGGCCAAACAGCCTGATAACATGTGGTGGTGTGTATGATGGCATTTGTCAGTTACGACAGTTATGGGACATTAATAACGTAATAATGGAGTCAGTTCTTAACGTTGCTGCTGGCTTTGAGGATGCATCTACTGTTTGGATGCTTACTCAAGGGCGAGGTGGAGAAGCAATGCTTTTCGTTGCTGTTACAAACAGTCGTGAAAATGTTCGACCAATTACAAGAAGAAACCTTGACACTAATAGTTTTTTATCAGCGAGAGAAGATGATGATTCCATCTTTTTCAGCGTTTCCCCTATATCAGTGGTACATCCTAAGTACGTTGCAGCATTTGACCTCAGTGGTTTCACTTACTTCCTTGTTTCCCAAAAAGAGGACCTCAATAGTTTTGTCTCAAAGATAAGCAGAGTTTGTCAAGGCGGTCCAAATCTAGCCGCTTACACAGAAATTACCCTACAGTGCAGTGGATCAGATGGCAGTGTGTACAGCTTGGTGCAAGCAGCTCACTTTGGACCAGCAGGACCTGATCTAGCGACATCATTGGGTCTCCATGCAGACGAGCAGGTGCTGTATGCTGTGTTTGCCAAGAACCAAGGAGCTCCGGGTACCAGCGATGTACCCATCGATCACTCAGCATTGTGTATGTACAGGATGACGGATATCTTGGCTGCCTTCAGAGAAGCAGTACGGGGATGTATTCAGGATGGGAACATTGGCAATGGGCCAAACAAGATCGACTATTTGGAGGGTTCTTTTTGCAATGGGTACGGGGTGAGTACAGAAGCATATTTTGATTAATGTTGGCATTTCTCTAATAAGATTCAAAGATGCATTCCCCGTGCTGTTTTCGAGTTTCACCTCGAAAAGTAGACTGTTTTTTCCCCATTTTTAAAAAATTTTCCCAGCAATATAAATTGAATTCACTTTTAAATGACACATTTAACTTAAAATCCACCAAAGTTTAGTTATTGAATTATTTCTTCACAATTTTTGAATTATTGGTTGCCAGGCATAAATTTGGCTCTGACAGAGCGGATTATTTGTGCCCAAAATGAAATCCGTCAAAAAGAATACAAACTAAACTAAATCCACTTATTGGAGAGAATAAGGTATGCATATATACGTTGCGCGTACTACAAAATCAAAAGGCGGGTTACTTGTACTTTTGTGACGTAAATCCAACCCAACTCAACTCAACCCAACGCAAATGTACAGGTTGCCTAACCTAAAATAAAATCGTCTACAGTCGTCTTAGTCATTGTAAAACATTTAAGAACTATCAGGGTGAAACAAAAAAAAGTGAAACCCAAATGTCGGGACTAATGTTTAAGTGAAGTGTAGCACTTGAAAATCTAGGATATGAAAACCAAATTCATAAGCTTTCTTTTAGTACTAGAATCATTCAAATCACCTATGTAATTTATAAGTTATGGAATTTTAAACACAACCACCGTTTTAAAGTTCTGTCCACGGATCACAAAAAAGGTGTGCATTCTCTCAGCAAAGCGAAAATAATTCACACACATCCTTACGTGATTTGTTTTCGTTTTGCTGAAAGAACACTTACCTTTTTGTGATCCGTGGACAGAACTTTAAAACGGTGGTTGTGTTTAAAATTCCATAACTTATAAATTACATAGGTGATTTGAATGATTCTAGTACTAAAAGAAAGCTTATGAATTGGGTTTTCATATCCTAGATTTTGAAAGTGCCACATGCAGAACATAATTAAAACAATGGTACCAACATTTTTTACTCACCCTGTATACGTGCAAAATATGCTGCCATTTCACAACAACGAGTGAATATAGAATAGCGAAAAGGAAAAACAGTATAAAATTAAACATTTTGGCAATGTATCGACGCCTCTATCTTTCCATATGGGGACCAGGTCCACTGCAGTGTGCGCTTCTTTGCCACTGCTATTCTACTCTTGATGTCTGTTACTCTGTAGGCTGTCAATATGCCCCCAAAATGCATAGCAAACCTGTCGTGCAAAGTCAAGCCCTCTGTCCCGTTTCTCCACTTCATTTCAAGGCTGAACGGTTCCAATTGTTTCTTTCTGCAATAATGGTGCAAACTATAGGTAATTGAACCATCGATGATGGTAAAAACAAGGCAGCTTTCTTTGTAGTCCCTTGCTGATGCATCAACGTGGTTGCATAAACACGATAAAGTACTCATTCTTTTTTTCTGATATAGGATTGGTAATGCGTGAATAAGGGTATTGTGGCGGAACCGGGGGGGGGGGGGGACTGGTCTTGTTTATCCCAGGACTCCAACCCACACCTATTATCCCACAAACAATATTTATAAGCCTAACGAACGGGTGAGCGGCTACCCAAACGAAAGGGGGACAATTAACGAACGGTGGACTAAGCCTAGGGGCTGTTCGTTTGGTGGAAATATACCACCGTTTTGTGATTGAGTAATTAATTGAATGGAATAAGAGTAATACGAGTAGCGACAATAGGTCTCAAAGTGAATTCAGGTAACCCTCACAGCAGACCTAAGTAACCCTCAGTGAACCTGGTAACCCTCACAGTGAACCTGAGTAACCATCACAGAGACAAGTGATTCCAAAGACGATTATAGATATGATTTATTCAAGAATCTCAATCATCAATGGATTTGTTCAATAATCACTACAATAATTTAGAATAATATACAATATACGAGGTGATGAATATTATGGACGTAAATATCTCACACAATAGGCAATAACCCTCACTGGTTATATCCAGGGTCAACTGCACCCTTTTTAAGTAACTTAGTCTAACGTAACCCTCACGTGGTCAACTGCACCACTTAATAATATAAACAGAAAGGTTAACTTCACGTGGCCAACTGCACCTCGTGTAGTGTCCTTATTACTATTCTTTTTGACATCTTATTCATTTATTCTTAATTGATAGCTATTAATTTGTTATGGCGATTCATTTTTTGTATAAAGTAATTCAAATGTTTTGTTACATTTTTACATGTACTTGATTGTATATCATCCACAATTCAGCCTTTGGGCTGCGACGAATCGATAATAAAACCCTTCAATTGAATTGAATTGGAATTCAACGACTTTCCTTGAACTGACTGGATTCATGTGTCTTGATAATTGCCTCTGCCGAACCACGATATTGCTTTAACTGGTTAATCATTTTTTTTGTATCTACTTAATTCGTTATAGATTTCCATTCTGGATCGCTATTTCTGCACACCCGTGACCAATGATCAAAATCAAACGCCATTATTCAAGTACGCCAAGGGCATAGCCCCCGTTCCATCCACGGCAATCCTAGAGCTGCCTGGTACTCTCACGTCATCAGTCATAACCACAATAGAAGTCAACCACACCATCGCTTTAATCGGAACATCGAGTGGAGATCTACTCAAGGTAAATTATCCCTAATCGGTTGAAATGTATGACTGAAGGCGTCGTAGAGCCTAAATTGGACAGTTTAGAAACAGTTTTATTTCAAACCATTTCGTTTACACCCCCAGCACTCGAGACTTTAGTTTAGTTTTTAGCACGACGCATTGATTCTGGAAAGTTATTGATTTTTTAAAAATGAGAAATAATAAGCTACATTTCTGGTCTCCCTTAATAAATGGCTTGCATGAACGACGCTGCTTAAGCATACACTCAAGGCAAGCAGTGCATGCCGGGTTGATCTTAATTATTCATAAATCCATGTGAAACGTTTTAACTCTCCATGTACAATGAAGGTGTAAACAGATGAATTTAAGTCCTATATGTGTCATAATTATGCATCTTGTCATTAGGTTCATGTGGAAAGTAACACTACCAGCCGACTTTATGAACGCATTATCGTTGATACCAGTCCAGTTCTGCCAGATGTCAAGGTTAATGACACAACACGTGTACTATTTCTCTTGACGGAACAAAAGGTAAGAACATGCATACATACCTGTTGAGGAGTACTACTATTAACTGAATAATTACTTTCTCTGCTCCATTTAGTGTCGCCCGTGGGCTTCGCATTAGCAGAAAAGAAGACAGATTTGACAGGGAAAAAAGTCAAAAGCTAAGCTGACAAGAAAAGGATTTTTTTTGGTCAAATGAACATAATGAACATAAACTTTTCTGCTTCGTAAACTGAAAACAAGATTCAAGTTTGAAAGAAAAAAAATCTGCTGAAATCAAGTACTTTTCTTTCTCAACATTTAGATTGTTAAAAAGGTACAATATGTTTTTCACTTTAGTTGGTGAAGCTTCGCGTGGAGAATTGTGGCCAATACACTACATGCGAAACGTGTATTGGGACTGATGCAGGGAATGATGGAGACCCATTTTGTGGATGGTGCACTCTGGAACGAAGGTAAGTCACACGGGATGTCTCCAAAGTGTGTGAATGGGTGGAGGGGTTGTACGACCGGTAGTCTATCACCACTCAGACGGGCAGGGTGCAACATGTACGGAAATGTATCATTCATGATGTATATCATTGTAATGGTCCTCCTGAAGAATCTCCCTAATGCTGAATCCAAGCCTCCACTACTAAAACAACTACACCAGTAAGAGTCCGGCAGTCTCCTGACGACGAACAGAGCACACTGTTCGAAACGTCGCCGGAGTCAGAACCACACAACCCAAAAGACATGTACATGGTGTTACCGCAAACTTTCCATTCTTCATTAATATTGTACAGGGTGACCCCAAAAATACAACCCTAAAACATTTGCCATAAAAAAAAAAGATCAGTGGATTTTTATGCTTTGGGTATCAGATTAAAGCTGAGAGCGTTTTCTTTCAAATACTGAAAAAAAATCATGACAATAGCACTTTGGGTTGCTGGCAAAATGCCAATTATGTAAAAGAAGTCATTTTTCATAATACTTCAAACAGTGAAACATTTTACTGTAAGCCTACTGTGCAATTATCCTTCATTTGTGCAATATTGTCTTTAATATGTGGGCATATTTATGATGCTGAAAAGGTTTAAAATAGGAGATACTAAAAAGGATGTGATACCTGTGCAGGTGGAAAATAAAAGGCATTACCATCAAATTCATTTGTACTGTAACGGACAGTTTGTTTTCCGTAGTTACAAGTAGTAGACGGCGCCACCGCCGCCGACGGAGTGCCTCCGGCGGCGCGCACCTAGCCTGGTTTTGGGTCTGGGCCGGCGCGCGCTCCGGAAATAGGTTGTTGTAAATAGATCACTTCAATTGGGTTCTTTTGTTTGGGTACGCGGGAAGGGTTTGGATAAGTTCCAGGGCTTGGTTAAGTTGTTACAAATGTATATATTTTTCAGACAGTGCGTTTTGTATGCTGAGAATGTTCAGTTGTGTTTTTGGAAGCATTGCGGCAGGTAGCCGGTCTTTACAGAATTAAAACGAAACAAGTTGAGTTTTGCTTCAAGCCTTGAGTCAATTGCGTCCCCTTTTTCTGGCGTTTTGCTAAATTGGGGGACAAGAACCCAACTAGGTCTACGCTACAATTGGTGGCAGCGCGGGATAATTTTCGTGTCTTTTCAACGGAGAAGTTTTTATGGCGAGCCATACGATGCAGCCCACCCGAAATGTCGCGGAAGCCATTAGCGACATTTCCACCGAGATCAACCGGTTAGAGCGGTCATTTTTGGACAGCTGTCGAGCTACTCGTGGATCCTCATCCCGAGCAGGAAGACGGCAACACTACGTACCAGAGACACCAGTCCCCTTTTCCCAGGATGATAGCAACAGGCGACGGAAACCACGAAGCTCGCAGAAGAAACTGGCGCATTCAGCGGTTGCAAACCTCGTCATGCGGGCAGGCACACGGCATTGCATACTGATACCACTACTAGTGGATACAGTGCTGCAAATGCGGTAGGCCAGCACGCAAACGTGGAACGCACCGCAGCAGCACCGCGGGTAAAGGCTCGGGAGTACGACGGGTCGTCATGTATCGAGGATTACCTGGTGCACTTCGAACGAGTCAGCAAGATCAACTGCTGGAATCAAGAGCAGAGGGCAGACTATCTGATGGTTGCAATGAAAGGCCCAGCGCTGGAAGTTGCATGTTCCTTGCCCAAGGAGTCTCGGTCGTCCTTCGACGAATTAGTCAAGGCCCTTGAGCGGCGATTTGGGACTGAAAAGCATCGCATTCGCCACCGCGCTGAACTGACTTCACGGAGAAGGCGTGCAGGGGAGACTGTTGCCGAGTTGGGCCAAGCCATCAGAAAATTGGTCCGCCGAGCCTACCCCGACAGCAGCTCAAAGTTTATGGAGGACTTTGCAATTGAACAGTTTAAGAACGCCCTGGACGACATCGACCTCAAACGGGCACTATTCCAAGGGAAGCCATCTACGCTTGACGAAGCTGTGGAGATTGTTGCAGAGGCTGAAGCATGGTTCAAGACGGAGAAAGCTAGACGATCAAGGGCAGTGATACCCGACGCCAACGCGGTGAAATCTGAGGAGCCTGCGCAGACTGATGAGGTGGCAACAATGGTGCGTGAACTGTTGGAAAAACAGCGCCGTGACCAAGGAACAAAGAAGGCCGACGACTGGAAGCCAGGATGCTGGAAGTGCGGTAGCCTGGACCATTTCCGGGCCCAATGTCCCCTCCTAAAGGACGACCAGCATCCATTAAACCAAGTAAGGCTGGTCTTGGGGCCAAAAGCCCAGCCGTAGATGTCCAGAGGCCTAGTGTACCTAAAGTGCAGGAAGTCCCGCCCCCGGCGCAGGCAGCCCCGCCGCCGGCGCAGGCGCCGCCGCTGGCGGCCCCTCCGCCGGAGCGGGTAGCCCCGCCGCCGGCGCAGGCAGCCCCACCTCCGGTGTTGAAAGTCCCACCACCGCCCGGTGTTGCAATACGACCGACATCCTCTCGTGAACTGGGACTCTATGTCAGAGGGGAGATTATGGACATGGCTGTGAGTTTCCTGATTGACACGGGCGCAATGGAGAGTTTCATCTCTACCCGGTTGTTTCAGAGGACGGACCCCAAGGTGAGGCCCACACTCATGCATGCAGATCGCAGATTTCGGCAGGCTGATGGAAGTGAACTGCGCATCGCTGGGCGAGTGAAACTGCCTATGAAGATAGGGGGGAGTCAGATCCTACACTGCGTTTGGGTGGCAGACGTGAGTGACGATGCCATCCTGGGACTGGACTTCTTGCGGGAAAACAAATGCCAGCTAATCTGGGAGGAGGAGTGTCTCACCGTCGGTAACTATAGGGTCCCTCTGCAGAAGTATCCACAGATGCCTGCAGTCTGTCGGGTACGGATTACTGAGGGTGTCGTTGTGCCCCTTCTTCTGAAATGCTACTGGAGTGCCAAGTTGTCAGCGAGAGAGGTGAGCTGCCGACATGGGGTGTGCTGCAGAATAGAGAGACGGTTGTCGAGAATCGCGAGGTTCTCGTGGCCAGTGCCCTTGTGCATACCCAGGACAACCGTGTACCAGTGATACTCTTAAACCTATCGCCTGAAGCACTCATGCTCAGAAAGGGGACTGCTGCCGCCATCCTGGAGCCAGTGGATAGTGTTGCAGTACTGGAACACAAGAACAGGAAAAACAAGAGACAAGGGAGAGTGAAGAGCTGGGAGTACCTGAACACCTGTCTTCACTGTTTAAGTCCAGCTGCGGAAGGTTAACGGTTGATGAGCGAGCTAGACTTGCAGCTTTACTGAGACGGTTCAGTGACGTGTTCTCTACTGGGGATGGAGACATTGGCCAAACTAACCTGACCCAGCACCGCATCGAGACCGGGACAGCCCCACCCATTCGACAAAGACCGAGGAGAGTACCCTTAACCCAACGGGAGGTGGCGGACAAGGAAATAGCAAAAATGCTCTCGCAGGGTGTCATTCAGGCTTCGGTAATCAATGCACACTCGGACAGACCCGTCCTTCTTCCTCACCAGGACAAGCGGTGAACTCCATGGACTCTCCGATGGCTCTCCGAGCCATCGGAGAGTCCATGGAGTTCACCGCTTGTCCTGGTGAGGAAGAAGGACGGGTCTGTCCGAGTGTGCATTGATTACCGAAGCCTGAACGAGGTTACAGTGAAGGACGCACACCCACTCCCGCGCATAGAGGACAACCTTGACTCACTGGCAGGGTCCCAATTCTTCTCGACCCTGGACCTTGCTTCTGGGTACTGGCAGGTAGAGGTAGCTAAGGAAGATAGGCCAAAGACTGCATTTAGTACGGGGAGAGGTGGGCTATACCAGTTTATTACCATGCCTTTCGGATTGTGCAACGCGCCCTCCACTTTTGAGCGCTTGATGGAGCGTGTCCTCGCGGGATTGCAATGGCAAGTGGCTGTTTTGTACCTCGATGACGTCATCGTATTTGGACGGTCGTTTGATGAACAGGTGCAAAGACTTTGCCTAGTTTTGCAGAGGCTTCATGCGGCCAACCTGAAGTTGAAACCCAAAAAGTGCAGGCTTCTTCAGAGGCAG